CTTTTATGTAGGAAACAATGCCGTGCAACTAAGTAAATTAGGAAGTTGGTTTTGAGCCAAGTCAGGAAAAAAATACCTGCTGAGGGAAAGACTAGAGAACAAAATGTTAATTCCACTAAAGGAGCTCTCATCTTCCTTATTCTCAAGTGGAAGGGCATGCTCATTGTTGTGGCTTATTTAAATGTTCCCCCAAAGTCTCATGCAGTCATGGGAGGTAGGCATTTCTAGGGCAGCTGAGTCTAGCATTTGTGATTGCTTCGTTGTTTAGCACTGGGATTGGTGTTGTGAGTGTTGCACCCGCCCAAGGGTAGGTACAGTATAAGGGAGGGAAGGGAGGCATGCTTTTTCCCTTGTTGCCCTTTTTGCTCTTGTCACTTGTGGCCATCATAAATGGTTTCCCCTTAGCCATATCACACTGCCTTAGATCCAGCTGAATATGGACTGAAACCTTCAAAAACTGTAAACTAAACAAACCTTTCCTTCCTTCATTTTGGGTATCAAGTGTTTTGTCTCAGCAATGAGAGAAAAGTAAACAGGACACTCATGTCAAGCACTTTATATATATTATCTCATGGTTCTCCATGAGGAAAGCACTATTATCCCCACGTTACATAAACAGAGACTCAGGAAGGGTAAATGACTTGCCCAAGTCACACAGCTACTCAATGATAGGACAAGGTGTCAAAATCAGGTATGATCTTCAAACTCCACTGTGTCTCCAGAAGGGTGAGTGAGCAGAGAAGAGCTGAATAAAAACAAAGAACAAGGGAGCATCCTTCAGACCCTGCAGACCCCCTTTTCCAGGGCTTCTGCTGCATCCTTAACAGCTGGAGTTCAGGGTAACCTCTGCCGCCAGCCTTGGCTTCTTCCTTCAGCAATACTTTAGAAACTTGTGCTGGAGACTGGCACCCAGTCACTGCCCAAGCTCTCAGCCTGACCATTCCACCATCCACCCATCCCTGCCATACAGGCCAGGCAAGCCTGAGAGTTCCAGGAAAAACCAGTCTCACTCTTTCGTCAGGGTCCCAGCATAGCCCTTTGCCCCACTCCAACCCTGGGAAATAGTCTGCCTTTATCTATGCCTCTCAATATCTCCTCCCTGGTAACTCCCTTCCTTTCTAGTTGTTGATCACAATATCTTGTCTATACTTTTTGGGAAAAAAAAAAGGAGGTGGGGGGAGGAAAAAGAGTAAATTTCCAGGAATTGTTTCACGATCGCTGTTCTGCTGCTTACAGCAAACTGCACCACCACCACGCCTCCACCATCTACCCAGTTTGGCAAGGAACCTTGCTCCTGTCCCTCCCTGTCTCCCTTCCTCCCAGGCTCTCAGTTCAGTTCCCACACCCTTAAAAAGATTCACAGGAAAATTGCAGAGTTTTCACTTATTTCTTCCTGAGGGAACAGCTTTCTCTCGGAGCCAGCATGTCTTCCTCACACTGCAAATGCACACTGGGCGACAAGCAGAGAGAGGGGCTGATCAGGGGAAGGTGAGGCTGCAGGGCAGTGTCTCCATGTGAGAGGGAAAATTCAGAGACCCAAGAGACAAAATTCATAGAAATATAGGCTTGAGAGGAATGCAAATGGCCATGAGTGTTGTCCACATGGAGAGAACAGAGACCATGATGAGGGTATTTCATGGTTTAGCAGGAACTCCATCTGTGTGGCTTCAAGGCACAGAGAGGGAAACACATGTTGGTGGGATAAAAACTAAGATCCAAGAAAGCAAGCAAAGCTATCTGAAAAGTCAAAGTAAACCATATTTCATATTATCATTGCTCATGACAGATTTCTGGATCTAGAAGTGATTGGATAAGCAAAGAAAACTGTCTCATCCCATAGAAACAGCTGGGATGATAGTGGCACAACAATGTAAACACACATAATACCACTGAACTTTGTACTTAAAACTGGTGAAAGTGGTAGCTGTTATGTACATTTTACCACAGTAAAAACTTAATTTGGCTGGGGGTTTAGCTTAGAGGCATAAGGACCTGCCCTGGCAAGTAAAAGATCATGAGTTCGATTCCCAGTACAAAAAAAAAAAACTTAATTAGCAAATTTTTAAGTCCTTCCTTGAGTGCATAAACAAAATATGGTATGCACATGCAATACAATATTACTCAGTCATAGAGTGGAAGGAAGCACATATGCTACAATGTAGATGAACCTCAAAAACATGCAAAAAAAGACAGAGAAGTCACCAATTCTGATTATACTTATAGGAAATAACCAAATTAGGTATAATCATATAGACAGAAAGAAAGCAGACTTGTGGTTACCAGCTTTCTCAACCACACTCAAGAATGGACCCTCTCTGCCTCTGGCCTCAGGATCTACAGACAGAAGAAGGGTACCATCCTGTGTTCCATGTGCACAGGAAAAGCCACAAGGTCATGACACATGCTGCACTCTGGAGAGTCCAAAACTGCATGGTTGCGTCAAGAGCATCATGAAAGACAAGAGGTTTAACAAGCAAGGGGACTATTCATGGCACTGGTGCCATCCACATCGGATAGTTAGTGTACTGAGGCAAGAAGGCCCCACTCAATACTAATAATGCCCTCCTGATGAGCACTCTGCCTGAGGGTACCATCGTGTGCTACCTGGAGAACCTAGTAAAACAGGGCTAGCTACTCCAAACCACCAAAAACAATGTCACCATCATTTTCTTTTTCTTTTAATTTTATTTTGAAAGTGGTAAAATACAACAGAACAAGACAAAATAAAGCCAACTAAGATCATACAGTGAAATTGGTACAGAACTTCACAGCAGGTTACCGGGACAACAGTAATAGGTATCACAGTATATTTCATTATCTTTATAATAGTTGTTCTTTCAATCATGTATATCAAAATGAGATGAAATACAGAACATTATAGAACTTATCAAAACAGAATATTGAATAGAGCAGTACCATTAATCAGAATAGAGCAAAACAGTAATAAAAATATTTGCCTTCAAAGAGATGGTAGAAGGAAGTCCCCCTTATTTGCTATGGTCAACCTCCCAGGAGATGCTCAGATTTCTGGTGGGAATTTGCTAACGGGGGCGGGGACAAGAGAAGGGTGGTAGGGGAAGTGGGATGTTTGACTCTAGGCCGTGCATCAGTAGGTTCACTATTGCTTAGCAGGGAGGACGGCTGGTTGTTTGGTTTCCCAGCGTCCTAAGTTCCAACATGGCACGGATCTCAGGAGCTGCTGGTGGTTCTCCCCCTGGAAGGGCTGCAGTCCACCACACCGCCACCACTTACTTACCAGGGAGGGGAGGTGCTTGCTTGGCTTCCCAGTGTCCTAAGTTCCAACACGGCACGGATCTCAGGAGATGCTGGTGGTTCTTCCCCTGGAAGGGCCCCAGTGGGCTACACTGCAGCCACTTACCAGGGAGGGGAGGTCATCACCATCATTTTCTACAATCCCAAGACCAAGATGAGAGATATGAAGCTACCTTTAGTTCTGTGAAGGTCATCTCTGCCAACAAAGCTGTGGTTACTGTGGTGATTGGAGGTGGCCAAATTGACAAACCCATCCTGAAGGCTGGCCACACTTACAGCAAGTGATCAGTTGTAGAGGAACTGCTGACCACGAGTGTGGGACGTGGCCATGAACTCTGTGGAACCTCCTTGCAGGGGCAGAAACCACCAACACATTGGAAACCCCCACGCATCCAAGGAGACACCCCTAATGGCCACAGAGTGGGTCTCATCACTGCTAACCAGACTGAGTCTCCATAGAATCCAGAGACCATGAAAGAGAACTGGGGATAAGGACTCAGTGAACATCCTTCTACCACTTAAAAAAGGAAAAAAAAAATTGTGGTTTCCAGGGGCTGCAGAAGGGAAAAGATACCATAGGAAATGGCTGCTTAATGGGTGTAGAGTTTCCTAATGGGTATTTGGCCGAGGTGGAGATATCACAACAATGTAAATGTGTTGCAAGCCCCTAAATTATATGCTTTACCGTGGCTATGTTTATGTTGCTAGAATTTCTCCCTTGATTAAACTTTTCTTTACTCCCTACCAGCCGATGAATGCTTCACCTTATATCATACAAAACAGGGCCCAGGTTCAGATGGGTCTGCCATGTGCAGAGTATGGCTTCTCTGGACCCCAAAGGGCATGAAGATGCCCATCCTGCCTCTCCACAGTGGTGTATCAAGGATCAGTCTAGATAAACGAAGTGGGACTGCGTTGAGTGGCAGGCAGCCCCACCGACACAGGGCATTATAAACGCAAGTTCACTGGCCCAAAGCCCCTTGCCTTTGCTTGCAGAGAGAGAAGGCAGGAAATCTGGTCTCTTTCCCAACTCATTCCTTATCTCCACCCAGCCACACACCACACTCTCCTGCCAAGGGGCCAAGAGGTGAGAGTCTTGGGGAAGAGGACTTCTCCTTTCTCCCTCCCCATCCAGTACTCTCCCTAAATTCAGGCAGAGCCCTCTCCCCACCACACAAATCTTATCTTTTCTCTCTCCTCAGATGAAGGCAGGGAGTTGGAAATCACATGGGGCTAACAGGAAATTGTAGGGTTAAATGAGAACCAATTGGGTCACCAAAATCCCTAAAAGTCTGACTGATTTTCAGATTTGTTTCAGTTGCTATCACTCCAGTTCTAATAAGCAGGAGTTAAGACAGATGGGAGAATGGGGCTGTGAGCTGCCTCAGAGAGAAGAACGTGTGCACTTATGAAAGGTGTTTGTCACAGTCAGCTCTGTGATTAGCACTTTACCTTGATGGCTTGTTTAAATGTCATACTATCCCTTTTCATAGCCACTATTGTCCCCATTCTGCAGATGAAAGAACTAAGATCAAAGATTGAAGAGGCCAAGTTATAAAGCTAGTGAATGAAGAGTCTGGAGTTTAGTGCTTGCATCATTCCTGAGTCTGTGGCTAGGACATCCCCTCGAACTGGATTGGGTAAATGCAGGAAAAACGCCAGCCCCCTTCTATGGAGCTGCAGCCAGTGACAGCTACTTCCCAGAGCTGCAGCCAGTGATAGCTATTTCCCGGATGGAGGGCTGCCCTGAAAACCAGCAGCAAGACCAGCCCCACAGCCACTGTCCCACCAGCCTCCTAACAGTCCAGAGCTGCAGGACTCCAGAACAGAGGTGCTTCCACAGGAAATTCAGGTGAGTACATCCATCTCCCAGGGAAGAAACAGTGGGAGACAAACGTTTACCAAGGGAGTGTTAGGGGGAGGTCCCCACCTATGGTTCACATAGCAAGACAGGGCAGAAGCACCTCATGAAAACATATGCCAAAGTGCCAAGAATTAAAGTGCTGGGAGAAGGGAAGATTGGAAACCACTGGAGTTGAGGGGCCAGCTGGGCTGGGAAGGAAAAACTTCGTTGGGCATAAACAGTCCTGAAATTCCTTAACAAAGTGTCTCTGCTCTTGGGTCAAAGCTGGCAAATCACAGTTCAAGTATTAATTATCTCTTTCTTACCTTTTCAAGGCCCTTAAGCCTCAAGTTGCTGTGCCTTCTGACTAGGGGACATAAGACCACTCTCAAGATCTCCTTTCTCTTCCAACGCCTTCTTCTTCCCAATAGCCCTTTGCTGGTGCTCATGTCAGTCAAACCCAGCTTGGGGCCTGGCCCCATGCAAGAGCCTACTGTCATGCCTGACAATGACTTTAGAGAGATCCACAACTGGACAGATCTGCTCTACTTCTTCAACCACACCCTGCCAGAGTGCCATGCAGAGCTTAGTGAGAACACCAAGAAAGTTGTCCTCTTTGTCCTCTACCTGGCCATCTTTGTGGTTGGGCTGGTGGAGAACCTCCTGGTGATCTGTGTCAACTGGCGCCACTCAGGCCGCATGGGGCTGCTGAACCTCTATGTCCTCAACATGGCCATAGCAGACCTGGGCATCATCCTGTTACTTCCCGTGTGGATGCTGGAGATCATGCTAGACTACGCCTGGCTCTGGGGCAGCTTTTCCTGCCGTTTCACTCATTACTTCTACTTTGCCAACATGTACAGCAGCATTTTCTTCCTAGTGTGCCTCAGTGTCGATCGCTACTTCACACTCACCAACACCTCTCCTTACTGGCAGCACAACCAGCATCGAGTGCGGCGGGCCGTGTGTGCAGGCGTCTGGGTCCTCTCCGCCATCATCCCACTGCCTGAGGTGGTCCACATCCAGTTGGTGGATGACATTGAGCCTGTGTGCCTTTTCCTGGCACCTTTTGAAACATACAGCACGTGGGCCTTGGTAGTGACCCTGTTCACCATTGTGCTGGGCTTCCTGCTGCCCTTTCCTCTCATCGTGGTCTTCAACGTGCTGACAGCCTGTCATCTTCAGAAGCAAGGACAGCCTGATGGTTGGCGACACTGCCGGCTGGTGTGTGCCTACATAGCTGTCTTTGGCATCTGCTGGGTGCCCTACCATACATCTCTGCTGGTGGTCACTCTGCAGGGGACTCATATCTCTTTCCACTGCTACCTGGTCCACGTGATGTACTTCTTCTATGACATCATCAACTGCTTCTCCATGCTGCACTGTGTCGCCAACCCCATCCTTTACAACTTTCTCAGCCCAAGCTTCCGCGGTCGGCTGCTGAGCGCTGTGGTCCGTTACCTTCCAAAGGATCAGGGCAGGGCAGGCGCCCAGGCTTCCTCTTCCTCTTCTTCCACACAGCACTCCATCATCATCACCAAGGAGGGCAGTCTGCCCACTGCAGCAGGCCCTACCCCCACCCAAGCCTGAACTTCCAGCACCCTCTTTGCCTCGAAATACCTCATCTCCACTCTGCAATGTCATAGCCAGGTGAGGCAGATTCTAGCTCCTCCATTGGTAAAATAAAAGGCTAGAAGGGAAGGTGAGAGATTCAGGGATGGGGTAAGGAATGGGGGAGAAGATCAAAGCACTCAGGGCAAATTTTAAGTCTATTTTAGAATACTGAGGAGGGGAGAGGGAGAGGGGTTGAGGAGGGATAAAGAACAGGTCTTTCCTTGATGCTGCACTGTTTTGTTTTTTTTGTTTGTTTGTTTTGTTTTTTGGTCCTTCTGTCTAAGGGAGCCACACACGCACATGCATTAAAAAAGTGAAATAAGACAGCCAGCCATGTCTCTGGATCTCTGAGAACACTGCACTATAGCTGGGTTTGGAAAAGGAGCAGAGGCCACAGGGATGCTCTGCAAAAAAAAAACTAGACATACACATCTAATAAATCACCCTGACCGGAAAAAATGAGCTCCACAGGAACCTCACAAAACTTTCCTTTTGTTTATGTGCTTGTTGATCTTCCAGCTCACTGTGCAGGCTGTGGGGACAAGAGGCCAGAGGCCAAGGAACCAGGAGGCCTCAGCAGGACATTCCCTAGCTGTGCATCCTCAGTGCCATGATAAGCAGAGGACAGTGGGGAAGCAGGGGTGGGACGAACCTGGTCTGAGACAGGCACCCTGCAGCTGGGTCAGCAGGATGGTCTCGCCACCCTTAGCACTCAGGAAACACAGCTCCATTTCCTTGCTGATATCCTCCCTTCCCCTTTGTCCATCCTGGCTTTCCTCCCCCAGAGTACATGCAGTCAGAGCCCATGCTCCTCACAGCAAACCTCCCGGCTTTGGGTCTAGAACACTATCTTCTAGGGCAGTAATAGTGAATCTTTCAGGGCTTTCAATGGTAACAAACAGCTGTGGCAAAGTGTGCAATAGGTTCACCGCCACTGCTCTAAGGGGGACACAGAACTCCTTATTTCTCTCTTACTCTTCAAATCACAGGAAAATATCAGGAGACATCTATTCAGGAACAGACCTTGAAAACGCCAGCAGAAGATGCTGGCAGCTGTTGCATCCCTTGACTCTTGGCCCTTGCACAGGGTTGGGGAAGATCCAAAGTGGAAATTTCCCTGCTTTGTGACAGCGCAGAGCTCTGGCACTAGTCACTTCTTCCTGGTCACATCTTCATTATCTTCCTGTGCAGGGACCTGCATTTACTAACACTTGTTCTATAGATAAAGATGTTCCTCTAATTAACAAGCAGGTCTTCTGGAACACTCATTTATCAGTTTAGGAAATAAAGACCATAAATATGAAAAATTGATGTAAAAACCTAAAAGTAGGTCCTAGTTTCTGCCTTTCAATTCTATGTTCTTGGCCACCTGTTTGTAGAAAATGAGAACTTGTAGATGAAACTGCTGATCTCTCAACTTTCTCCTCAGTCCTGCTGAAGAGCAGTGTGTCTGGAATGTTTAACTTGGAATAACAAGTCATTTCGCAGAGAGGATCTCCTCCGCTCTTTTCTTGTCTGTGCTCTCTGGAAACATTTTAATACATGTCCCAAGGACGCACACACCCAGGCTTGTCAGCAGTGCAGAGGAAAACCATATCTACTATCCACTGCTCACTGGGCCCAAACCTGAAAGGGTCTCAAACTACAACAGCTGCTTGGTGGCACACAGCTGAAGGCTTTCTGAACTAGGAGCCTGTGACTTGGAGGATATAGTAATGACTTGACCTAAGAATGCAGAAATCACATTAAAATTGTTCCCACTTAAAAAGCAACCCAAAGCCAGGGTGGTAGCACACACCTATAATCGCAGCACTCACAAGGCTGAGATAGGAGGATCATTGTGAGTTCAAGACCAGCCTGGGCTACAAAGTGAGCTCAAGGGCAGCCTGAACTGTATAGTGAGATGCTGTCTCAAAAAGACCAAAAAGAAAAGAAAAAAAAAAAAAAAAAAAAAGCAACCCAAGATCAAGTCACTGCCTCCTTTGACCTAGGCCCTAAGAATTTTCTGAAGGAAATTCAACTTTACATCTGTCATTACCCAGGATGTCACAGAGGCCATTTCCCAAGACCAGTTGTCACCAAGGCGGTATGAATACTTCCTTAGGGCCCTTCCACCCATGGAAGGAAGAATGGGAACTGCTACAAAGCTGTTCTGCTCAGCAAACACTGAGCATTGATGAGAACTGGGCCTGGGCCATGTGCCCTGGGACCAAATGAACTACATCACTCTCTACTGTCTTGGTCTGTCTCCTCTGAGGAAGCATATTGGTACCAACCTCATGCAATTTGGTCAGACCTCTACCTCTTCCCTGTTCCAATCTTCCTTTCCCCTTTACTTTCCATCTCCAACTCTCCATTGGAAAACACTGCTTTACCATGAATTAAACAGTAGTTACAAGACAATATGTCTGGCCAACTCCCTCACTCAGCAATGTTGGCCCTACTGGTATCTGCAGGGGCCCAGAGCTCTCTCTAGCTAATGGCAAATGCCTTTTGGGATGTGCACCTGAAAACAGTGAATCTTTTAATTTCCCACTAAGATACGTCAATAAGCTAATCTTGGGGAATTCCAGCTATGGGAAATGAAAATGTGCTAGATGAAAGATTTCTGGCATCTGTGGAACCATGTGCTACTGAAAGGGTAATGAGCTCAGATGTTTGGAACTCAAAATATAAGCATTGTCATAATATACAGAAAAAGAACTCCCATTTCAAATTTTTTTATTCTAAATAAAAACCACACTTTGTGCTGAACAATGGAATATAAAAGAATCAGATGTACAACGATTTTAGACATCTACTATTTGGGAAAAAAAGTTTACAAAATGTACAAAACTTTACAGCAATAGATAGTAAACACTTAAATATTAGGAGGTCAGTACTTATTAATTTAATGGAAGGAGTTAGACATCAACACCTCTTCTCCATCTTGTAAGAGATTTCAGCTATTAGAGGTAGGGGGGAAGGTAAGTGGATTGGACAAGAGAATGTTAACGAAACACCAAAATCAAAAAGTTTTATTTTCATTCTGATGTTAAGCTTATGATGCATAATCACACAAACTAATGCTGTGCATGCCCTGCTTCCTGACTCATTTGGTGCAAAATTTAGGGAAAAGGACACACAGGGACTCCCAACCAAACACAGGCTGCTCCACACAGCCCATTCCCATGCCAACAAATTCAGTGTCCATCCATAAAGGACTGAAATTCACTGTCGAAGTCGAGTGGTATGGGGATGGGGAATAGGACCCAGCAAGAGGCAAGGAAATTTTATCAGTAGTAAAAACCTGACTGGGAAAAAAGATATCTAAGCCCAAAGGTTTGTCTTAAAAACAAAGTGGTGCTGATGGACCAGAATAGAAGTAAAAAAGAACTTTACCCATTTCCTGATTCTTAGGGGTCTCCTGGGTACAATGCTCACCCCACCTCCTTTCTTCCCAACTAGCCATTGAACCATATGGACTTAGTGTTAAAATTTAGTACTAAATATTAGGGTTCAGCAGAACTTCCATGGGCACTGAGGCACCTATGAACCATCAGGGGTCGCTGGAGTGCAGGACACTGATCCCCTTCACTGGCCTCTATGGTTTTTCCCGGCATTCCATTTAAGTATTGCTGTTTCCTCTTAGGAAACAAGTTGAGAATGGCCCCAAATTTGGTTTAATACTCTACAATAGCCATCTTAAAAATCTAATAATCTGTGAAGAGGAGGACTCTGTGAATTATGAAGCTGATCCTGAGTACTGAACAAGAAAAAAGGAAACAGGAGACAGCATTCAAGGGTCAAACAGAACTTCAGAAGAATACAGCAGAGGGCAGTGCTAGACAACAACAGGATCCAAAAAATGAACACCAACAAAGTAAATACCTTCACCTGGTATCCTAGAGTGCCCTTTGCCACAATATAGCATTTCAAGTAAAACAATTCAGAAAAGAGTAACCTGGAGGCAGAGGAAACAAACATGACTTCATGTAGGTAGGAAGTTCACACAGAGGATGCCCAGAGAGACAGGGTTTGGTCACTGAGCCTTGTGAGCTACTGATCCTGCTGGCCACTGGGCCTCCCTGATCAACCACTTATCCTCAAGGAGACAGGGCAGAGTAGTTTTTTGTTTAGTGTTTCAAGGACAAAATTTCAAAGATCTGCTTTTTGGTTTACTGGCACAAAGGGAAAACTTCACAGTTTCAGGTTACATATACAAATTACCCAGCATCCATGATGCCCTCTACTAAGGAAAAAGGTTTCTCTGGTGTATTTATCCATTCTCAGCTGACAGGGTTCTAGTAAGTACCACCTCTCTCATATCAACTATTCCAAACTCAGTCCTCATCAGGTCTCAGAGGATCCTTCATGCTTGAGAAAAATACTAGATACTTGATTGTAGTCAAGTATTATAAATTCCCTTCTTAAATTCCTCATGGTCAATGTAAAAAGTGTCAGCATTGCTTCCGAGTTGGGTTTAGACAGTGAAAGGTGGATCTTTAACTGGCCATTATATAAGTCCTGTCACCTAGTGGGGACTAAAAGCCCACCAGAGAGCCCTGTGCTCTGACTCTAAGGCTTGCTCAATCCAGGGCTGGAAAGAAAAACAGTAGGCCCAATAGGGATAGAGCTTTGGTTCACTCATCTTAGTAAAGACAAGGACAGGAGCCCACCTAAATTTATAAAGGACCTCAAGGTGTACAAAAGCTCCTTTGTGTGACATGACTTGATCCCCTCATCCCAGTCCCTAATCTACGCCATCACAGGATAGGATGATGAAACGTCTAGGAATTTAACTGGGCCCCAACTTTCTAGAACTTGCATCCATTGCCTAAAGGAAGAAAATGTACTTGTTTAATAGGTTTGACATGGTCTCCCCCAATGACATCACTATTCCCCAGATCTCTGGCAAGGACAGTTCCACTGGATATGGCTACTTGCTTACGAGAAACTTATTTTACTGAAGTCTTTTACCCAAAAGAGACACTGGGTAATTCACATTCAAAAAAAAAAAAAAAAACAATAAATAAATATTAATGTCCAAAAAGGCTTTGTGGGTTAAACTACTTGCTTGTGAAACAGCCTGGAATGTTGGTGAGTCCCATCAGGGACAGTGTCAGGCTGAGGCTAGGGACTCCCAGAGCTCACTTGAGCAGGGTGAGGTAGTATGAGCTACTGAGGCGCCACTATGTGAGAATATAAGATCACGGGTCCTCTCCCTCCAGCCTTCTTTGGGCAAGACCCCGTTACAGCACAAATAAGAAGGGAACCAAACAGCCACAAAAATTGGGCCGCCTAAGGAGGGCCTGAACCAGCTGTGTCCAACAGCGCCCCCTGGAGGTGATGCTATGACAAGTCAGGATCAATTCCAGCAGGTCAAAGGTAAACTGTCAAAGCTTCAGCACGGCTAACACAAAGTAAACAAGCTACTTAACTGGGACAGACAAAATGCACACCCTGCTACACACCACCAGTTAGTTACTCAGGTCCCTTTAATCCTAAAGGGCTCATAGTTCGACACTCCACCACCTCCTCGGTTTTTTCAACTACATTACAGGCCAAACCCTCTCCAGTGGGAGACTGAGTATAAATTAAGGCAAGGCTGCTGCTGTCAGAGGCATCTCCTGTTATCCACCTGGAAGCTGAAGGTCACTGGAGGCTCCCTGACCTCTTTGCCCTACAGGGAAGTCTTGATGTCCTGGGCCAGCCCTCCACAAAAATTATGATTCTTTGGAAATGAGGAGAAAAAAAGGATCTCTCCTGTCCGTTCAGGTTGCCACATCTAGCGGCACTACAGGACTAACCCCATCTGCTGGCTAGGATTCATCCAAAGCTTTGCGATCTAAATAGAAAGCTTTGCTGTCAAAAGATTTTCACTGCCAATCAGCAGATCACGGCCACAGGGCAAGCAGACACCTCTATCCCTGACACCTTTTCCCTGTTAAAGGTTGGCACTGGAACCTGAGGTGAGTGGCCCAGCTGACTAGTCCTTTCTGAATGAGCACATTCCCCAAATCCCTCTCATAGCTGCTTGTGCCACCTGAAAGTCACCTCCTTTATCCTGTGAGGCCGTTGGTTGGATTCTTAGCAGCATAAAATCTATCAGTAAACTAAAACTAAAGAAGCTGAAAAGGGAATCTAGTTAGCACAACTGCTTGACTAGACCCCAAAACCAGCCTCAAAAGAATCAAAAACATAGGCCTTTCTGGGCCAGAACAGGTATGGAGGTAAATGCAACAGAGCCATTGCATTCTCAAAAACAGTAACAGCTTATGTGCTATGTACTTTTCTTCTAAAAACACAACATAGAATGGAACTCCTAGCAAGGCAAAACTGTAGCTTCAACTGGGAAGAGACCAACAGCCATCAGAAAACCACTGTCCTGGTTGCCACCCAGGAACTCCCCTGGCTCTGCTGGAACCCAGTCAGCTGTCTGGGTTCTTTTCAGCCTCTTTGGAATGGATAATGTACATGAAGGTCTGCTCGATGGTGAAGTCAGGTGGGAGGCTGCCTTTGTGCACACCGACATGTTTGCTCATGAGGTTAAGGGTAGAACTGTAGTGACCACAGACAGTGCAGCGATACATGAGTGCACCTGAGTGGGTCTTGAGGTGGCACTTGATGGTCGAGCGGCCTCGGAAGAACTTGTGGCACACCTTACACTGATAAGGCTTCTCGCCCGTGTGGATCCGCCGGTGGTAGTTGAACTCACTTGTGTGGGCAAACCTTTTGCCACAGACCTTGCAGCTATATTTGCTGTTCCCAGATTGGCCCTGCAGAGCCAGCTCCTCACTCAGAAACTCTTCTGCTGGCAGCTTCCGCTTCTGGAGGGCTGGGTGCTGCAACCCCAAGCCAGGCCGCACCTCAAGGCCACTGGTGCACTTATGCTGGCTGACATGGTAGCGATAGGCGGCCTCTGACCTGAAGCTCTGGCTACACAAGTGGCAGTGAAAGAGGACATCTTCCAAGCTTTGGTGCACAGCCATGTGCTTCTCCAGGAGGTGCCAATCCACAAAGCTGCTGGCACAGACAGAGCAGGAGAAAACTGAAATGCCCAAATGGGAGAGGGTGTGCCACATGAGGCTGCAAAGGTTGAGGTGGCGCTGGTCACAGACGCTACAAACCTGCCCCTTTAAGTTCAAATGGTCGAGGATATGGCCTCGGACCACATGAAAATCTTTGGCCAATGCTTTCCCACAGGCAGCACATTTCAACTCTGGGGAGGCTGCCCCTGAAAACAGACCCAGCTTCCCAGGCAGGGGCTCATTGGGGTGAACAATGATGTTGTTCTCAAATATTCCATCTCGTCGGTGAAGGGTTAGCTGCCACTGGGTAAAGAACTTTGTTTCACACATGTCACAGGAAAAGAGAAAAATGCCAATGTGAGAGAGGACATGGGTCACCCGAGTGTTTCGATCCTGGAAGTGGGTCTCACAGACTTTGCAGTTGCCGGTCAGCAGGTCTACATGGTCCCTAGCATGCTGTCGGATCAGTTGAATATTAGGCTCTAGAACTTTCTTACACACCTGGCAGAGCATAGCTTTATTCTCCCGGTTGTCATTGTCTCCAAAGGTCAGCTCATCCTCACTGTCATCACTCAGCTCAATCACCTCCTCTACTGTCCCAATCTCTTCAGTGGGATCCTCAAACTGCAAATCATCATCCCCCAGGTCCTCCAGCTGGAGCTCATCCATCTGCCCAAAGCCTGGATCTTTGGAATGGTCACTATTGCTCAAACAGGAATTGGTTCCAATAGAGATGTCAACTGCACTGTCAGGAGTGAAGAAGCTGTTTTTACTGAAATCTCCATTGCTTTGAACTTTGTAGGGCTGGCAAGAGCTTGTGCTGGTCCGGACACCTGTGCTGATGGTGCCTAGGCCTGACTGGGCTGCCATATTAGTAACAGACATGAAAGAAGCTGGGGCATCATGGTCTTCTGTCTTTGGTGGCAACGGTGGCTGTGGCAGAGGCAGGCTATGATTAGTGTCACTGGCAACATTTCTCTCTTCATCCTTACAGCTTCCTCCAGCATCAGCTGGTGACACATAGTTTCTATCAGGACCAAAGTGTTCCCCATTGCCCCGGAGTTCTCCAAGGGGATGGGCAGGATCTGCTGAGGGACAACTCAGAGTACCAGACTGGCTCTCACTAGTGCTAGTCAGAGGTTTAGCCACCGTAGTGCTTTCCAAGTCAGGAAAGGTAGAGTGGCAGGCCTGGAGAAGGTCCTCCATACCCAGACGCTCAGCCACCTCGTAGATGACTCCAACATTGATCAGATCTGTGAAGAGTTCTGATGTGTACACAAAGCTCAGAATCTTCTCAAAGTTGGCAGGGGTGATGAAGTCCACCACATAGGTCCTGGCAGCATCAAGCCCAGTATTCAGAAAGAGGTTCTGAAAGTAGCCCGCTGCACAGGCCAGCACAGCCTTGTGGGCAGGGAAGGAACGGCTCCCTACCACAATGGTGACATCGCACATGGTCTCTGAGAGTCGACACTTGTTGAGTTCCTTCAGCAGGTTGTTGGGGTGGTTGGTGCTTTGAAGTTTGATCCTCATGCCCATCTTAGCAGCTCCTACAAAGTTGTCTCCTTAGCAGCACAGTTAATCTGTGAATAGCAAGAGAAAAAGATGGAGGGCCAAACAAACCTGCAAGAAAGGCTCTGGAGAAGACACCCACTCAGAGTGCATACATACTCTGCTGGGAGCAAGGACTACAACAATGGCAAGACGAAACCTCTCTCCTGCACATACCCAAACACAGAGAAATCATAACAAAACCCAAGGAATAAAAAAATCTGTCTTGCTTGTTGTAAAGTCAGTAAAAGGATGTGGGCCTCAAGCTAGTGCCTTACAGCTAAGTAAAAAACATTCCCTCAAATACAATCCTGATTTTCATTACCAGAGTAAGTGGCTCAAACTTTTCATATTTTAATGTCTTCTTAGACACACTTTTTTATTTCAGTGAATATATTCTCTTACCTCAAGACATCAAATGCTATACATACAACTTCAACAAAATTATCAAAGTTCTATAAGGTATTCAGGAAGAGTTCAGGGGGCACCACCTTTTAGTTTTGTAATTGATGTCTTTTTTGAATCTAAGTAAATCTCATGCTCTTGAACTGCCATCTCTCCCTACTTACTCTGGCTTTTCCTATACCTACTCTGGCTTTTACTACAATCCAGGACAATTATTTTGTGGATGAAGTTCACTCAGAACCAAAAAAGTAAAGCAAAGTAGAACACGTCTGTAATCAGTGTTACTTGAGTATGCTTTATTCCCTTTTACCACCCTTTTCGGGTATTGGGCTTGCACTCACGCTATACTAACATTTACTCACTGCCTTCAAAAAGACATCTAATTAGCTAAGCTTTCTACAGTCTAATTCAATACCACTTTTTCCCTTCTTGACTCTTGCATGCTTGTTCTGTCTCACAACTCACCCTGCACAGCACAGCCCTTTGCCCTCTCACCAGATTCTACCAACAACGCCCAACTTTTTCTGGGGCCCAGTAATCTTCTGAGTATTGTCTGGTACCAGCTGGGCATCTCCCTAAGCCCCGATGGCTACTCATTCACGACGGGCGGGTCAGGACACTGGGCCGCCTGTTCGAGGCCCAAAGATGGTATTCGGAACTTCCGAGGAAGACCCCCCTACATTCCGACCCTCCGCAGGGTGGAATCGGCGAGGGCTGGCCGATGGAGCGGGCTGAGACACTCGCCCTGGGGAGGCCCGAGCACCCCAGGCCCCCCGCGGGCCGCTGGGGTTCTGCCGTGCGACCCCGGGCAGGGGCGCGGCGGGCAGCAGGCAGACAGGAGGCCACTGAGAGGCGGTGGGGCCGGCGGGGCCGACTCGGGGCGCGCGGCTGGGGGATGGGGCCGGCCGAGGGCAGCGAGGAGGAGCCCGGCGAGAGCGTCAGAAAGGCCGGGCCAGGGCTGGACTCAGCCAGGGGCAACCCTCGCCCGGCCGCGCTTACCCGGCTCCGCGGGGCCCGAGCACCATCGCCGCCGCCGGCTCACACAAAGGCCCCGGCCCGCCGTGCCCGGCCTGACGAGGAGGCGGCGCCGCCGGCCGCGGCCAGACTCTCCATCCGCCGAGCCGCTTGCAGCGCCGGCCCGGGCCTCCCCCGCCGCCTGGCCCGCAGCGCCCCCCGCCGTCCCGGAGGAGGCAGCGCCCCCCGCCGCAAGGCCGCTGCGCCCTCCGCCGCCGTGGCCCAGGAGGAGGCAGCGCTCCCTCCCTAAGGGGAGGCCGCCGGAAGCACCCCCGGCAGAGCTTTTTCCAAGCACTGGTTGGCCACTTGTGTACTGGATCGACCTCTACTAGCCCTGGCACCTGATAGTGAAAAGCCTGTCCAAACTCAGCTCTCATCCTCTCTCTAGTCTCCATCTCATAATCCAAAAGCTTCTTACAATGTCTACTGTTGTAGTTTTACAAAAAGTTGCAAGTTTATTTGACTAATTTGTGTCTCCACTAGGCTATGATCTGTGGTTTTATGCACAACTTAGCTTCAACCTTAATACACGTGCTGGTAGAGATGGTGATTGTTTAATACAATCTGTGTGGATGGATAAATGAACAAAGGAATGAAAGAAGGAGTACTTGAGGGATAGCCCGGTGATGGGCCATTCCTGTCCCTCCTTCCACCTAAATGATCAGCACCCACTGCGCCTTGGCTGCACAGGCCAGTTCCTGAATCCTGTCCTCGCCTATCCTTTCTAGAACTGTATTCCCGATTCCTCCCCTCAAATGCTCTTGCCCAAGAGTAGTCATAAACCAATACTACTTACCCTACCACTCCTCACACATTAGAAATTAGACATTAGAAATCTGCCTCATCCATTCTGTCTGCTCCACAGAGAAGAATCCCACAGCTTCAAGACCCTGTCGCCATTCCCATCTGTTCCTCTGAGGATAGCAGACTGCAGGCGCAAGCCGGAGGTCCAGGCACACCCAAGTAGGCTTGTGCACTACTTCAGTGGACAAAAGGGAATAAAGGGACACAGGATGTTGCCAACTGATCTAAGTCAGTTTGGCCGTTCAGTAATAGTCAGTTGTCTTGATGAATTTGCAAGACTATGTCTTCATTTTATTTGATATGCAAAGCAAGCACTGTATCAAACATTTATTAGATAAGAGACACAAAGAACAACTATTCGACTTGACCTTATAATTTAGGAATAGGGAATTCCAGTTGGAGGCCGAAACTATCTTCCAGTGGCAGGCCCAACCCCCACAGCTGTGTAAAGTGAACATCACACAACCAGCAGGCTGCAGGTGGTCAGCTCAACTCTAGAGACAAAAGGTGAGGAGTTGCAAGGTCTGTGGCCTGCTCAGTTTCCCTACAAACTGCTTTAGCTACTCCTTACTTGGGAATGTTGATCCCAGTAAGCGTCATCTCTTAATAAATGACCCACAGCACATAAATGATAGTGTAAATAATTTGTACTGAAGTCCTTTTTAAAATAAATCACTCCAGTCATGATATCATCCATATGCAAAACCAAATGCAGAAGAAAGGACTGTTATTTTACTGAGGTCTTCGTGACCAGGTCTCCTTAACCAGATCTCCTCTGGTATCAATCTCTTTACAACAGGGAGAGTCAGGATCCCTTCACATACTCTCCAAACACAGAAATAGGAATCTAATTTAAAATGTGTTTTCATTTTTCCTAGAATTTCTGGTGCTGTAATTTTTGTCTGCCCCACCAGAGAGCAACCTTTCAGCATTTATACGTCATGCTTGGCAAACAGTTGTCTCATCTCCACATATATGCCGAACCCTAAGTCTTAGGAGAAGCAACTCTTGAGGTTTCCACGACCCAAAGAAATTCCTCAGCCTCCATGAAAGTGTTCCCACTTTCCAGCTCTAAAAATAACTAATTTTGAAGAGCCAATGAGATATCTCACTGGAGAAAGGATGTACAATAGGGCCACTCTTTGACCTCTGGCTAGGAAAGGGAGCCCTCCTTTCCCCACCTCCACCATGTAACTGTGGGTTCAAAGAAGCCCCAGTCAGGTTCTAAGAGTATAGAACTTTTACTGGGGTGAAAGAACTGCAGGAAGTGGCCTCTGGCTCCAAGTTCCTGTCCGGACACTGCTCTAGAAGAGCTGAGTGTGGACTTTGTGTCAGTGCAATTCAGGAACAAAACTGAGGCTCCTGACATAGGCTAAGATAGGGATCCTGAGGATTTCCCAGGCTCTGTTCCATTAGGATACACATTCTTCCCTGGGATATTTGTCACATTAGATTAATAAAATGTATCTTCACCATGTTTTATTCATTTTTTTCACTGTGTATCATTATCTTCAAAGTAGTTACTCAGAGTACAAGATGTAAACCCAAAAGAAACAAACAGATAATAATACAAAGCTTTCTTTTCAATAATCTGTTCTGTGAGTCACTGGCCTTGCTGCAAGGGCTGGGAATAACTACTTTATAGAAGAATCTGAACTAAATGTAAGACAATTGACACTGAAAATAGCTGTTCTTTTCTTTCTTGGTCTCTTCACTAACTTCCTGGTCTACGCTCCATTTCTAGCTTGATCAAGATTTGTTTCCTTGTCAGGGCTGGGGATTTAGCTCAGCGGCATAAGCACCTGCCTTGCAAGCAGGCGGTCGTGAGTTTGATCCCTGGTACCAATAAAAAAAAAAAAAAAAAGATTTGTTTCCTTGTCCACAGCCTTCTAGGCTGTAAAACTTATGCATGGGTCACCATTTCATCCCCAAGAGCTGTCTCAACATTTAGAAGCAACAGCACAATACACTGCTACAGAGTCTTTGCAGTCTTCACCTTCCTCTGAAATTAAACAAGGTCAGATTCAGGAATTAAGGTCTCCCAGGCCCATACCAGAAACGCAGACAAGTCTTTCAGTGTTTTCATTATCAGAAGTCTTCAAGTGTTAGAGACCATCTTCTAAATTCATGTATTTATTGTTTTAATCACTAAATAATCTGATACTGATTGAACCAAGCACTGTGTGAGGCAGTTTTAGGACAACTGATGTTATAAAATAAAGTGGCTTCCATTTAAATATGATGTGTGTGTCATATGTTTGGGAGTTTTGTTTGTCTGTTTGTTTGTTTTTGATGATACAAGGGATTGAACCTAAAGCCTGCATACTAAGCTACATCCCAAGCCCTTTTTCTTTTTTTTATTTTGAGATAGGGTTTGCTAAGTTACTCTGGTGGGACTCAAACTTGCAGTCCTCCTGCTTCAGCCTCCCAAATAATTGTGATTAACAGGTATCACCATACCCATATAAATACATAAATGTATTTATAATGTAGTGGAGAGGTCAAGGAAAAGAAAAACCAAACAAACAATACATTACATCGCTCATATGTAAAAATCTTTATTGTTGAGGAGGAAAGAGACATATTTTTAATGTAGAACTCTATAGAAACTATAGTTAATCTATAGAACCCACAGTCAATGTTCATTAGGATTGGGAATAGTCACAAGCTACTAGAAGGGAGAGCAAAGGAATCAAAGCACAAAGAATGTTATAGGAACAGAAGGGAAATAGGAGAACATGCACCTGGGATTGGGACAGGGGAGAGTGTCTCTATGATGCAGCCCAGGGTCCAGAAGTAGAATGCTGAGAAGCAAAACAAAACAAAAAAACCAAGTCACATCTTATGAACTATAAAACTGCCACTGGATACCTACTGGGTGGAAGTGTAAGAGGAAAAGGAAGTCTTACCCCTCAGTTGTCTGTGCAACCTTTGTACTAAAGGTACTTGGCCCTTCCCTGCTCCGGTGTTTATGTGCTAAATACCTGTGGCATGGTCTTAGGATCCATGAAGAAAGATGTAGTAACCAAGCTCATATAATCTGAGCACCCCCAGGATCCAGGCACACATACACACGCATTCCAGGCACCTTGATACTAATACAGCCACTGGCTTCGCAGTTCCTCATCCTCCCAGAAACCTCCCAGAGGGACAGGCACCCAGATTACTTCCTTTTTCAGCAGTTTCACATGAATGAAATAAGATGACACAGTGATCTATGTTGATCCATCTCATCTAATGCCCTTTAAATGCCAGCCTGCAGGGACTTTAAGTGCTATTCTGCCTGGCACCTAGTAGGTTGCTAATGCTCCGTGAATGGTAAGATTATGAAGGCTGCAATTACAGACCCAGTCTCTCTGAAAGAGCCTGGATTCACCAGCAACATTAAAACTGGATTTCCACAATGAACTTGTTTTTGCCATTTGTATAAAATACTATGGCAAAATTGCACTGTAATTATTTTTATGGCCAGTGTATAATGCTGGAAGAGAGTATGCCATCCAGATATAGCTGCCCATATAATTATCTGGTCATTGGCAGGACTGAAATAACCATCTAAGGAGAGCAAAATGATACAGTTAAGTACCATGTAATCAGTGAGTTGCAGTTATTACAGATTTTGTGCCCTCTCACCCAACAGTAGATGGGGGCCAGACCTAGTCTCTAGGCCAGAGGAGTCATGCACAGGTGACAGCAGCAAGAGTCAGCTTCTTGAGTCTCAGGCTTGCCCCTTGGGACCAGTAGGGAAAAAGAATACTCTCTGTGATTACCGGGTCTTCCCAATCTCTCTCCTCTTCTCCTTTACCCGCCTCTGCCCCTGTTTCTTTGGAAATTAGTGAAACCAGTTGAGCTGCTATTGCTGTGTGTGAGTAGACCATATCCAGGAGAAGGGTTCTGTGTGTTTTGACTAAACACTTCCCTGAGGCTCTGTCACACTCATAGACAACTGAGGAATCTGTCAGCCGGCTCAGGCCTGAGGTCCACCCCAGGCATAGACAGACCAGAACCAGTCAGGGGAAAGCCCACCCCTCCCATGCCAGCAGAGCTGTAATAGAGCCAATATACAGCATTGCGTGATAACCTGAACAGTTCACCTATATTCCACCCTTCACACTGCAGCCCTGAGAGATACTGGCATCACCCTCATCGCTCTCATTTTTCAGATGAGGAAAATGAGATGCAGAGGATTACATAACTCAGCAAAGGGACACAGGCAGAGAATGGTAGATCCAGGATTTATACTCAAGCCAATCTCCAATTCATTATCTGCATAGAGACACTAAAATATGTTTTCCAGCTACTCCCATTAGACTTCAGAGTGCCTTGCATTTCTTGCCAAATCACCCTCATGTCTAACTGAGTTCTGTGCCCATAACCCAGGATTCAAAACCAAAAGGTTTAATGTGCCCAGGAGGCAAATGCTTCATCTATGAACTGTACATATTATCTGCAATTATCAGATGACAATCTCTCCATCTTTTGCACATATACCGAAGAACAGGGTCCAAACAATGTAAAGCTGCCCCTTGAGAAGCCCCAGGGAAGCCTATCTCTCCCCATCTCCCACCACTCACTTCTGCTGCTGACTAATCAGTGGGGTCCATGACACAGAAGAAAAAATGAAAAAGAGTGACGGGCATGTGTGTGTGTGCATGTCTGTCTCTAAGCATCTCTGTGTTTGGGAAACAGCATGCTGGGCACTAGCTGTGTATTTTAGGGTACATTCATAAGCATAAATGCTTATAGCATCCAAGGAAATGCCCAAGTAGCAACTCACTTACACATCCATGCACACACACACACACACACACACACACATAACTCAGTCCCCTCTCCTTGCTCCTGTTAACAGTCCTTACCTCATTCTGCACTGGAGGCATACTTGAGGGTGCCAAAGCCAGGGATGTTCTCTTGATTCACATCAGTAGAAGTGTCTGGGGTGAAGTAAATCGTGTAGTTAAGAGAGATTCTGATGAATGTCACCTCTACCCTGACCCAACAGGGAAGGACTGGTTATTGAGGTCAACATTGGAAAGAGTTGGGAAATGGAGAAGAAACAGACTCTCCCTGTCCCTTCCTCCTATCCACAGCAAAAGGTCCTCCACTCTGAGTTCTGTGAGGGCATGACTGTGAATCTAAGCTGATTGGGAAGAAAGGGGCAGAAAGACTTACTACAACCAAGAAAAGTCTTAATCTTCTCTTTGGTAACAAATAGGAGACACTTGACTTATGTCATATCCTCATCAGAACCCAAACCATTCTCTCTCACACTCCTACCTGCTTGGCTGTTCCTCTTCCCCATAAGTCCCACAAAGAAATCATGCATGTCACCTGCAAAAAAAAGGCGAACATGGTCAACAGACAGAGAGATAGTTCATCCTCTATATCCACCCTCTGCACATCTCAAGAATCCTCTGTCCCAAGAGGTGTCTGGCTTAGAGTCCTCACAGTCACCTCTTGTTCCATTTGGTTCCCAGCAAGCAGCCAGTGGAGGAAACTCCTCATGACCTTCACACCTGCTTCTTTCCTTGTTCTCAGTGGCCCCTCCCACTTAGGAAAAGCTCACTGAGAAATTGTAGCTGGCATATTGTCCACACCAGCTGAGACTGGCCCGGCCAAAATGCCTTCTGGGCCCCATGTCTGTGGAGCTCTGGGCAAGCAGTCAACAGACTTAGAAAAAGAGAAGAGGATACTCACGTTTCTGGGGAAGGGATGATTCCTTAGGATCTGAGAAATCAACAATAAGTGTGTAAATGAGGAGTGGATGTTGGAAAGGGACAATGGGGATGAGGCCCAGATCAAAATTCTTACCAATTCATTGAGCCAACCCACCTCCCTCCCACCCAAAGGGATCTTCCAGGCCCATCTAATCAGAATCCCACCACTTACACCCTGTCCCTGGGGCTGCCTCCTACCCATGCTAGCCTTGCTCAGCACTTTCAGCAATCCTTCCAGAGAAACTGAGCGGCTGTCGTAGAGTCTCCGAAGCAATGATGGGGGCAGCTGGTAGAGACCTGAGTCCTTGTAGAGGAGAGGAACAGAGAAGACTGAGGCAGGAGACTTATACGTCATCCACTCACTGTTTTCCTACACAAAACAGCCTCGTCCTGAACCCGTGACTGTAGAATCCCAAACTTATTTCCTTCAGGATTTTCTCTAGTTTTCTAGCAACTTGGGCACAACAGCACACATGTCACCACCTAGTTAATTACAGTTTCAGAGAGACAGTGATGATCATGTTTTGAGATTCTCATCTCAAATCTCAGAAGTACATCTCTCCAGAACCCAGGCATCCTTGTGCTGCCATCCATACTCAGAAGTGTCTTTACCAGGATACCCCATATATATTAACCCAGTTACAGGGGCCCACATTTATCCCTACCCTTCCTGCCCCAATTCCACTTATCCTCACAGATACTAAGGAAGAAAGACAGGAAGAGCAATCCCTGTCTTTCATTAACAAAGAGGGATACAGGGAACATTTCATTGCCCAAGGTCCCATAACAAGTTTGTCTCTGAAGAATTCAGATACTCTGACTAGCCCAGGCTGGACCTTTGTAGCTCCAAACATAGAATTCAGCCTGTATTTGGCATTCCCAGAGCATTTTTGAATTTTGGATCTGGTACAACTCTACCACCTGCAAGGTTGCACTGGTGATCTGTCTGTCTCTCTCTATGTCTCTCTCTCTCTCTCTGTCTCTGTCTCTCTCTCTCTCTCTCTCTCTCTCTCTCTCTCTCTCTCTCTGTCTCTCTCTCTCTCCCTCAGCCCAGCAAACAGCTTCACAGCAGCCACTTTCCCCAAATTGTTCAAATTCTCTGCCCACCTCTTATAATGAGATGCTAAACAGACTGGATTTGGAAAAGCAGTTAGACTTCACAAACTGAATTTGTAATGAGTCCCACCTGTAATCATCTTAAAAGCATTTGTAGCAATGTAATTGCTATCATTTCAAAACCTTGAAAAGACTTACTCGTTGCACCTCACCCTGCATCCTCTCCCTGCACTCCAACCCTAACAATCCTTATTATTTTCCTTAGGAGAGCTTTGGAAATCAGGGCTTAAACTAGATTTTTGTCATTTGTTTTACATTTTGCTATCCTGACTAAGCTGAGGCTAAGGACAGGCAAGGAAAAGGAGAGAAGAAGGAGAGTTGGGATTTTAGAAGCACCTGTTTTCCTACACAAAACAGCCTAAGCAGAGGATAGAGGAACTTATTTGCATTTTGAAAATAAAATAGTACACATAATCTATAGATGAAGTAGTATGTAAATGCCCACATGAGAGACATTCTGATTGTTTCATACCATCTAAAAGATGGAAATGATCTGTCCCCTGCCGAGGGGCAGAACCTGAGCCAGATTACAAAAAGCCTTAGCCCACCCTAGTTCACCACTCACAGCACCATCCAATCAAGTCATCAGTCAGTTAACAAACCACAACATATTTGCAGGACATCTTCTACGACAAAATGTCCAAGATACACAGAGAGACAGAAATATAACCTGGAGAGAGTAGGTACATGAGAGGACTAGAGAGGCAGAGAAATTCACAAGACAAAATGCTCTCAAAAGGAATATCCATCCAACTCCCAACCCTGCCTGCCAAAATTTCCCCTTACAACTGTCCAGACATGCAGGACCCCTGATCCCCGTGATACTTCCAGGACTCTGGAAGAGGGTCCCTTACCTTGTTGTGGGTCCCACTGGGCACCACCTGCTCCTGTGACTCCTCACAAACATCCCCAAAGCTTGAACATAGACTAAGGACCAGGATGGCTGCAAACAGCAGGGTGCTCCTCATGGTGACTGGGAGGCCTCAGGTACAGCAGAGCGGTCTGAGGACGTGTAGACAAATAACCTGGCTCAATCAGCTATCAGCCTGCTATCAGCCCCAAATGTCCCATCCAAGCCCCAGTCTGGAAAAAGGGTAAAATGCATCTCTGTAGGAGTTCATCTTTTGAGTTTCTCTGCTCTCCTACTAGATACATTCCCAGGATATACCCTGGGACACAAGCAAAGGTGCTGTGGTCCGGGACTCTGGCTTCCAAGGAAGATAGGTTTGTATGACATGAATAGGTCTGTTTTCACCCTGAGAAAAGGTCCTGGATACTATTTTCAGGTATTAGATAACCAAGGCAACACTTTCTGGTACAGAAGAATCAGTCTATCCCATAAGGCTCCAACCAACCTATTTACCTTCCCATTGCCCTGTTTGCCTATCAAAGGTTGCCCTCCTGCATTCTGTCCTGGCTGTGGCCCTTGGTGCCAGATTCAGTCCATCCCACAATGTCCCCCTGTCCTACCTGTAGAGTTGCTCTGAGCCTGATGCTCTGATTGGCAGGATCAAGGAGCTGGCTGGTAGCACTCCTCACTCCCCACACACTGCTGCAGAGCTAGAGGAAGAGAAAAGCAGAGTGGAGGGGATCTGGGAGTGGCAGGAACTCAGTCCCAGCTCCCTGATAAAGGCTCTGGGAGGGTCTGGGGGAGCTGAGGGGAGGGGCTGAGAGTCACCAATCCCAGGGTGGCTGCAGAGGAGGAGGGAGCTTGGAAAAGGGGGAGGATGCAGACCGCAGCCACACACCCAGACACACACACCCTGCAAGATACACACACACACACACACACACACACACACACACACGCACACACACACACATACGCACACACATAGACCCAACAGTGAGCTGAAGCTGTCCGGCAGCCTGCTTTCCAACTGCACCCTAGGTGGCATTCTAAGGAATGTTCTTGTGCTTGTCACAATATTGCCATGCCAGGTCTAGCTCAACAGGTGCGACCTTTGTGTTTGCCCACCAGCTCCCTGCTCTTAAAACCTCCAAGCTTGACTTCTAGGCTAACACAGTTCAAGCAGATGCCTCTCTGCCCCTGCCACCACCAGGAACTCCAGTCTGGGGACTGGGTATGAGCCTGGCATCTCCACTCTCCCTTTCTTCAACATACGCCACAGTCTTCACTCCAGGCACTCTGCTGTTACTTCTCCACGCCGCTTAATGCAGAGCCCTCCATCTGCCCCCCTCTTCCTCCAGGCCCCACCAGTACTGATGTCACTCCCCTGAGCCTCCCACCCTCTCCTTTCCTTCTGACCTTGTGTCGGCCTGACTTAGTTGCATCCTATCTTCTATCCCTCCTGCTGTCTCTCCCTGACTGGAAAGAAAGGTAATGGCTGAGCTGTTACCTAGCCCTGCGCCACCCCCTCTGCTCTCAAATTCATCACTTAAATTGCTTCCCTGTTCCCTCAGCTACATCTTCCCCACTCTAACCATCTCCCTGAAACTCAGATGTCTTACCCTCTGACTCTTAAGCCCCTCTCCACACCCCACACAGGGGGCTTTGCTACTTGTTGCACACCCAAGAGAGAAAGCCCCAGGGGAACAAATCAGCGCTAAGACCAGAGAGCAGACCTAGAGAGACCATGATGCCAAAGAGCTAGAGGAGAGGCACAGAGAATACCGGCCTCTGAGCAAATGAGGGGTCCTGTCCAGCATTTGTAAGAGGCACCAGAATTTTTTTGCTGCGTGTGTGTGTGTGTGTGTGTGTGTGTGTGTGTGTTACTGTGAATTGAACCCAGGACCTTCTCATTGAGCTACAATCTCAACCATTTTTAATTCTTTATTCTGAGATAGGACCTCGCTAAGTTGCCCATACTGAAGTAACAATCTTCTGCTTTACCCTCCCAGAATGTTGGGAGGGTGCTGGGCTTAAACATTCTCCAGGTACTTTGGCATAGAGCAATGTGTTTTCCTCAACTCTAACATGTAAGTGGGACATTCTCCTATGTTTCTGATGAGAAAGAAAACCCAGGAAGTTCAGTCACCAGCTGCAGTACTTAGTACTTAGCTATTAATCAGCAGAGAACAGCCACAAATTCAGGTTCTTCTCACTCTGAATCTCCCATTCTTCTTACAACACTGGCGTGAACACTGACCTGTGAAGGAATAGTTAACCTTTCCAAAGGAAACAGATGGCCCACCTCTCTGAGAAGAAGCGAAAACGGTAACTTCATCTTGTGTATACTACAAATACTTTTTTCAGACAGGGTCTCATTCTGTAGTCTAGACTGGCCTTGAACTCACTTTGTAGCCCAGGCTGGCCTGGAACCCACAACAATCCTCCTACCTCAGCCTCCCAAGTGCTGGGATTACAAGCATGTACCACCACTCCAACTGAAATACTTCTTCTTAACAAGGCCTTCCCCTAAAGTTTCAACTACTCTACAAGTCCATATAACCCTCTCCTGCTTTTTTTCTCTTTTTATGTACTTATTACATCCAACATTCTGGTGTTTTATTTGTCTCTCTGTAACATAGACCACCCTAAAATGTATCATAAGGGTAAGAATTGTTGTCTGATTTGTTTGCTATTGTATCCCACACTCTTGAGTATTTGACATATGATAAATAAATAATAAAAATTTATTTATAAAATGAAAAAGGAAGCCAGAGTCAAACTTCTTGTATCTCAGCCCAAAACAAGGAGATCTTCCATGGAGCCTCCCAACTACCAATGGGTTCTAAAATATTTTCTTCACATCTCACTCTCCCTGGGACTTGGACCATACTATGAGAAATCATCCTGACTGCACAGGGCCCCATGTTCACCCCAGAATGAGGGCAGCAGCTGGACATCAAGGCCTCTTTATTATATGCGTGGCTAATGAGGCCTCATTAAAAGCTTCTCTCATTACACAGCTAATTGCAGGGCTGTGTGGGCAAAGAACATGGGCCAGGAACATGGTCCAGGACCCAGGACTGGGAGCATTTGGTGAGAAAGGAATAGAAGTGGGAGGCTGTTTACATGCAAATGGCACAACTGGCTCATTCCTTTGAGAAGCTCAGGTGCTGTGCCTAGTTGGACTAGCTGTCTCTCTCCTTCTCTCCTACCCCTGTCTGAAAACAGAAGCCCAAACATACCCCGTGGAGGAAGTTGGGTGTGTAGGAGGAGCATAAATTGAAAACATAAAGCCTTCTGGGCCCAACTCTGCATCAACCCCCTCCCCCCACCAACCCATCCTTTCCTGCCCCCAATCCTGGCACCAGGGAAGCAGGGCTTCAGCAAAGGTCCACCATGAATAATGTCCTTTGATGATTCGGCATCTCACAGAGAATGGTAGGAGCCAAGCCTGGGGGAGCAAGAGGATGGCAGGGAGAACTGATCACCCCTTGATCTCTGGGATTAGCAAAGACTTGAAAGTGTTGACGCGAACCTAAGTCAGAGAGGTGATGAAGGAGAGAGGCATTGGAGAGCAGGAGTGGGCAGGTTTCATTTTGCCCACAAATCGTATGCAAATGTGACTGTAGAGCACCTAGGCATCCTTTTTCTTTGAAAATCTACTCTATTTAAGCCACATTTCAGATACTTTTACTGACCTAAAGGAAAAGGTACTTGGAGTCCAGAGTCCCTGGCAGAAGATCTCCCAGCAGCTCCTCCCTTTTTGTTGTCATCAAGACCAGGAAAAGATACATAGTTATGCTTAGATGAGACAGGTTAGTCTGCTAGTCTCTGAGGACAGAAGCTAAAGGCAGTCCCAGGCCAGGATTATGCACACAGTATAACCTGCACAGGTCACCATCTGCTCACCTGTGGATGCCATCACTATCCCAGAGAGGTGGTGAGGGTGACAGGGCCAGGACCACATGTAACAGTGGAGATACTAGAATATTGAAAGGTGGTAACTTCTGTTGCATCCTGTTGGAGACAACCCACCGAGCAGGAAGGAATGAGGAAAGCCCTCAGAGGTGGGGAGGAAGTGGACTGGGCCAAGAGGCCTGTACCAGAACTGGTTTAAATTCTGAGATGGTAGAGCAGCTCCTTGTCAGGGTTAGGGGAGTCCAGGCTGGCCTGTGCCCCTCAGAGGCTGGAACAACCCACACTAAGTACTGGACCAGGGAGAGGATCACAAGGGGCAAAACTCCCACTTCTCCTGTGGTAAGAAAGCCAATTGAAACCTGTAACACAAGTGGGGAAACTGAGCCCAAAAGGCATCAGGCTCCTGGATTCATTAGAGAAGAAAAGCAGACAGGAAAGAGGGAAGGGAAAGGAGAGAAAGAAGGATGAAGGAAGGAAGGAGTCCTACCCCTCCTCATACTAGCATCCGTCCCCATGACTGAGGGAAGGAGCCAACCTAGCTCTCCTCAACTCCCACCCCCACCCAGAGAGCTAACAGAGCCCTCAGACATGGGAAAGAAAAGCAGGATAGGGAGCAGCAGCTGCATTTTCATCTGAAATTGCTTCTGAAAATGACCAGACACTTCACTGGGAAAGTGACGACAGTTTGGGCCCTGGGAGCAGGAGATGAGGCAGAGAGCGGAGGCGATCACTCAGGTCACCCAACCCCACTCCCCTCCCACCACCACCCCACTTTCTGGGCCAAACTGATCTTCTGGGCCTGATTCTGAGAAGTCAGGGATGGGGGAGTTGTTGAGGCTGGAGGGAGCTACCCCTCCTTGGAACACAGCCTCCAAGAGAGGCTCCTGCCCCTCCCTAGTCTGGTAATGGGGCTTGAGCTCAGAAAGCAAGGTTAATCTGCAGGCAGGCAGAAGTTAACCAGGCCTCCCTACCCACATGATTACATGGGGCTGTGAGCTGCCTGCTAAAGGAATGCAGAACCTGGAAGCAAGGTGAGGGAGACCCCAGCCTCAGGGCACAGAGAGATAAGAGCAGGGAAGGTGGATATTGTGAAAGGAAGAGCTGGCAACAAAGGCAGCCCTCCCTTAGACTGCAGATGTAAACTTCACTGCGAATATATCACATGATTTCCCCAAAGGCAGAGACCAGGATGACAAGAGGTTGAGACAAGACAGAATGTATGAGGGAAAAGATATGAAGGGAAGTGGAAAAATATTTAAGCAGTCGATAAAACATTACATATCAATATTAGAGTCCACACAAATAAGAACAATGAGATGGTGTGAGACAATCATAGATTCAGAAAAAGACAATGGCAATGACACAGAGAAAATAAACCAAGACAAGAGAAAAGGAGTTGAGTGAGTCATAGGGATGAATCTGGGAGGCGAGCTGCCTGTTAAGTGCTACCACCTGCAGGCCCAGCTCTGGGACAGTGATTAGTAAGAAACCATTGGCAGGAGCTTGGCATCTCAGGTATATGGAAAGGAAAGTGGTGCCAGGAGGCAAGTGTGATGCAGCCCGGCACTAAGCTTGGGATGGTGGGGAGACAGAGCTCTTGGATGTGGGGGACCCTCATTCCCAGCTCACCTCCGCTTGTATGAGCTCTCTAGCCTTGGGCCTCTTTTCAGTGAAATCTCCAAAGGATCCCAGTCTCTGCCAAGTCGGGGATCCTCACTTCTTCTCTCCAGGGACACACTTAATGAATCGGCCCATTGGCCACCTGCGACCTGAGCCCTATCCTCGGCTCCCCCACCCCCACCCGGCTCAGCCGGTCAAGGAGCCCAAAGACAATTTCCCTTCTTTGCCCTTCTGATTATCTGTGCTAGCTGGCTCTCAGAGACCT